TTTAGGACAGAGAGTGAATACACATACTATACAGAGATTCTGTATGAGAAACCAACGCTGCGGGGAAGCAGTGTGGAGTCTATTTTTATATAACATTACAAGAGGGATTCTTATTATTACATTATATGCTTATTGTGCTCATGAGATTGCTATGACTATACAAATAAATAGACAAGATCAACAATCCCAAGGTTTGATGGATTGGATAGGAAAACAAAGGGAAAAGTCTCATAAGAAAGTTTTAGCCTGCAATAACAGAGTAGCAAGGTCAGGTGCAGACACTGGTCAGGTGCAGACACTGGCTTCGCTCCCACACACAGCTAAGAAGCAGCATTATGAAGATTCCACTATATCTGCAGAAAGCTTCAGAAAAAACAAATTACGTATGATGGTGCCAGAGTAGGGAGGGACTTCCACAGGCCGGCTGAATGCTGATTGGAGGATCGTGTTGCCAAGAGACTTTTTTCTAAGTCTGCGCACCTACTGAAGTAAAAAGATATGATTCTACACTGTATTGAAGTAAACATGTATTATTTTGAATTGTATTTTAGTGAACATGTATTGTTTGAACTGTTTTAAGTAATCACAACGGTTTTGGGTAATCACATATATAGAAATGATATTCTCACTTTTAACTCACTGACCCAGAGATCCTGTTTCACACACACACAGCTCCTTTTCACCCCTACACCAGATGTTCTTTTTAAGGTCGTTAAAGACATCATTAAATATGTGCACAAAGGTTTAAATGTCTGAGAAAGAATAGTTTATGTGAAAAACTCCCATGGGAAGGTAAGGGAGTGAAGATCGGGACAGAGATAAGAATTTACTTTTGACCTTGTGAAACTTTGGAATTTCACGTTCTGGTGAGAACTATTGAACCCAACCAGAAGTGAATCCAGCCAGTAAGGACACCTGGGGGATGTGAGCAGCTCACACAGCTCCTCCTCACGGACTCTCTGATTCGCTTGGGAGTAAAATGGGAAGGAAGAGTCGACCCATCTCCGCCCCAAAATAAGGATATGAATACTGTTGTTTTTGTATGTAAAAGTGCTTCTGGTTTGTTGAAAGCTGGTGCTAGAAGACGGTAAACCGCATCACAAACCTGGAGTCCATACTTCTCGTTTTCTGAAAGCTGGTCTGTCTACCTGTAAAACCGCATCACAAGCCTGAAGTCCGGAGTACTCTGTATAACTTGTATATGTGTTTGGTTTCCTACCAGAAGTAAACTCAGATAATTGTTATAACTTTTGATTCCGGTGTTTTCAATTCCTTTCTTTATTTAATAGAGATTTCAGCCTCATCCAACGAACGGCGCGTAGCAGAGGGGATGGCTATCAGCCACCACAATAGGTGTTCTGCTCCAACACTACCAAAAAGAACCAAGTCTAAACCATGGTATCTCTTCAGCTAGTCTTGACCAATCATAAATGTACGGGCAACGCCCTGTGTAATAATAAATGTATGCACGCAAGAGGTTCGAGGCTCTTGTCCGGAAATAGACTTACAGATTACAGCTTTAGCTGCCTGTAATTTCTATGACGTGACGGAGTCCTTGGCCAAGTGATATATATATTTTGCTCTCTCATAATAAATAGTTAAACTTAGAAGTCGTCTGTCTTTCCTGGAATTTTGAACACAACAGCAGCAGTGTGTGGACCTCTTTCACCTGTCAGCGCAACTTACATGATGCCGTTTAAACACATTTAAATAATTGGTTTAAACGGCATAATAATAATAAGGACGATCGTCCGTTCTGTGATTCTCCAGAACACACAGATGGCCAGTCCGCCCCGGTGTAGCATATTATTTCGATGAGAGATGAGCAGATCGCCACTGGGCTTTCAACTAAAGACACAGCCACGCAAAAACTGCGGCATTTTTTACAGCTCCTTATGGGTACTGCAATTTGTGAAGTGCCGGCGCGGCAGCAGTGCTGTCCTCCGTGGTGAAACGATCAGCACTGCACCACAGAGGAAAGCAGCAGAAAGTCGCCTGGAGTTAAAGAGAGCGGGGCTGCATTGCGTGCATGGCTTCCTTCTGCAGGTAACGGGGAGACGCGCTCTGGTGGCGGTCTCGTTCAGGATCCGAAAATACAATTTAAATATTTTGCCCACTTATTCCACTTATTCCAAGTGTGCCACTGGTTACGGTGCCGCGTGCCAATGGGGTTGCCGACCCCTGCTCTAGTAGCTATCGTAGCAGCTAATATGAAATCTCCGTTATTGACATAAAAATGGAATGATGGATTATCAGTAGGGCTGTCAGTCGATTAAAATATTTAATCGCGATTAATCGCATGATTGTCCATAGTTAATCGCGATTAATCGCAAATCAATCGCACATTTTTTATCTGTTCTAAATGTACCTTAGAGGGATATTTTTCAAGTTTTTAATACTCTTATCAACATATGAGTGGACAAATATGCTTTATATGTTTGTTTATTATCATTTGAACAATGACAAATATTCTCATGAATATTAAACACAACAACCTCTGAACATTACAAATATTCTCCTCAATTCAACCTGGAACCTCTCTCATACAATAAAATGTGTGTGTGTGTGTGTGTGTGTGTGTGTGTGTGTGTGTGTGTGTGTGTGTGTGTGTGTGTGTGTGTGTGTGTGTGTGTGTGTGTGTGTGTGTGTGTGTGTGTGTGTGTGTGTGTGTGTGTGTGTGAGAATGTGGAGACACTGTGATGGATCGTTGGAGCTATGTGCAGCTCAAGGCATATATGCTCGAACGGGAGCTGCCTGGACGCTGCAATCATGTTGTGCGCACTATCCGTGCTGAGTGTGCTGACTTTTCGTACAATGTCCCACTGTCTGGCTACCTGCATAAAGTCAAGTGCTCGGCGCAGTTGTCGGCGAAATGTCGCTCCTCTGTTTTCATTGAAACAGCTCCTTATATCCGTTAGCGCAGCTAGCTAGCACCAGATGCTAACAACAACAACACGTAAGGTGTGCCTCGCTCGCGCCACACATTCACACACCCTCCCGGTCCTCCCGATGGCCAGTCCGGGCCTGCCGGTGAGCGTGGAAGTGTGGTCTGCCACAAGCGGGCGGCAGGAGCGGGGCTGTTAGCATCAGCTTGTAGATGGTATTTTAAACTCGATGCGCTCTGAAACTACGGGGCGGCCGAGGACAAAAAATACACATGCGTTAATCGCGTTAAAATAATTAGTGGCGTTAACGCGTTATTAACGCGTTAACTTGACAGCCCTAATTATCAGTAATCATTTCAAAGTGACACAGACACATTGGATTAACCCAGCGTTTCTTAAAGTGTGGGGCGCGCCCCACTGGTGGGGCGCAGAGATGTGATAGGTGGGTCGCGAATGGACGTGATGAACGGGAGATTTAAAAAAAAAAAATGTTTTTTTAATTAATTATTTGGACCTCAGGCCGGAATCGAACCTGGGTCCTCGCGGGCGGTAGTGGACTGTTACAGCCGGAGACTCGCAACGGCTGTGGACTTTCACAGCGGCGGTACCGCACCCGCCGCCGCAAACACCCGCCGTTGTGAGGCTCCCCATTATTTAAGGCAGCAGCCCACCGGGAAAAGTCCCGAATCTCCCGATGGCCAATCCGAGCCTGCTCACACACACACAACTGAAACCAAAATAATTTACAGACATATGTAAAAATCTCTCATACACACATGTGAATCGCTCTCACACACACACACAACAGCGCTGCAGTCGGGAAGAAAAGCAATGTGGAGCGGCACCTCACCACTTCATAAGGAGTTTAACTGTGACACTTTTCGAAATCCCGTTTGTGTCCCCCCACTTTAAAAATAGGTCTATGTTTATTTATTTATTTTAACGTAAGCCGTCATCGCCACGGAGGAGCACACAGCCTCTGTGAGCGAGCGAGACAGAGAGAGAGAGCGAGAGAGAGACAGAGAGAGACAGAGAGAGAGAGAGCACACCTTTATCTATTTAATATAGCCTGGTTGTAAAAAATAAAGTAAGAAATCATTCCAATGTGTACTATAGGACAGTAAAAAATAAAAAAAACTGTTTAAAGGGGAGTGATTAGTAAAATATGCATAAATAGAAAGAAAGAATGCTAATAACATAAGATAAGAATAAACCAGTTTAAATGATTTGTTATTGGTTGTGATCATATTCTAAAGATGTTTGGATTATTGAAAAGTATACAGCTCCCTTTCATCTGAGTGTTGAGAGCTGTATCCATCAATTCATGTTGTGCTCAAAGTGCACCAGATTGATGCATTTCACTTCAACATTTAAAAAAACATCTTCACGGGGGAGCATGCCCCCGGACCCCCCTAGTGGAGGGGAGGTCCACCCCCAAATAAAGCAGGTTAAAATAATTCAATTGAATACATGTTATTTTAGTAAACACTGCAAACGGGTCCCAAAGACCCAAACAGCACACAAAGGTTAAAGGTCAGCATATAATAATGTTAAAATGTGCTAAATATATACACTGCAAAAAAACAAAAAAAGAGGAGTAAAAGTAGCTCAAGACTTGTTTTATTTTTTTAAAGTAGCTATCATCCTTAAAAAGGTTGGAGACCCCTGTTATAGAACGATACATTTGACAATTTTAAGCTTGGCCTACCATTTTATTGGAGCGATGAGGAACAGGTGGGGCTTGAAAAGGCCCACCTGTTCAAAGTGGGGAATGACCGAAAAAGTTTGAGAACCACTGCATTAACCTATGAATTAAGAAGCCCTCAGACGCTGTTTCTTGCGGTACCGGGGGCATGGGGCTTAACTGGTTAATGGAAATGTTTTGGGCCGTTGTAGCGCGTTTGCACTTGTCGGCCACCTTACTTTATGAATGGGAAAATGATTTGACCCTTCTTGGGGCAAGTATTAAGGGCTTCAGAGTGTTCTGCTTTTAGTTCAGATTGTTGCTACAGCTGCAGATTGATGTGTGCTGGGGGGAAAAGAAAGTCCACTATCTCTGCTTCACTGGAAGTGAATAGCAAGAACAGAGGGTGCTGGGAAGGAGATTAATAGATAATGGAAGAGGGAAGTGGTGAGGAGCAGGAGAAGGATTGGGGCAGAGCCGAGGTTTTCAGTGATGGAGGGCAGGAAGGATGGCTGGTGCAGGTTAAGGAAGTAGTGGAGGTGGGGGGGTAAATCCAGATATCAGGTATGTGTTGAGATGGATTGGTGCTGGCCGGGTTAGAGGACGAGGAGAGGAATGGGAGGGAATAATGCAGGATGATAAAAGGGAGGGTGAACATGGGAGAGAAGGAGAAAAAAAGGAAATAAAAGAGGAGAGGGTGACTAGAAAAAAGAAGGTAGGATTGGAGAAAGACAAAGGTTGAATACAGTATGGGGAGGTTTGAAATACTAAAAACCAGCTGGCCAAGTGAGTTTCAGCATATCCTCTCTTCCTCTCCCTCTCTCTTGTTCAGTATGATTTATGAGCACAAAGCTCCAACACACTCTCAGACAGTCTTCCACAGCACGGTTGATGATGTGGGTATTTATACACACACATTTCCAGCTACCTGCATGCAGGAAGTGTGTGCTTGTTTGTTTGTGTACTTGTAAATCATAGATTTTTCCTGACTTAACCTAATTTGTTTGTCCTCAGAATGCTGCCCAATGTCTTTCACAAAATCAGCCCTGTAGAATGTTCTGCAGTAGCTGCAACACACACTCACACACCTTCACACACACAGGATTACTGCAAATGTTCTGTATTTATCCCATGGCTGTAATGGTTTTGGCTTGCCACTTGACAGCTTTAAACACAAGGGCTCAGCAATCGGACAGTATCAGCAGAGGAGGAAAACAACATTCATTAACAACCTTTGACCTATTCATACACTCTCTGTATCTACCGAGGGGCACACACACTCCTCTCCTCCATACACTCTTTTGTGAGCATTGCACCCGGGAGAAATAGGCGACAAGAATTGAGAGAAGGAAAAAACCTTCTCCGTTACATCATGTAATTCCTTTGTAACAGTTGATCACCTCTATGAATACAAAAACAACAAGGTAACAACTATGCAGATGAAGGTGTTGTTTACATGCACAATATACTTGGGTTTAATCTATTCTTTTATTTATTCATGGTAGCAAATACTGGTGATACTGGCATAACAGGAATCTGTCGATGGTCTTCGTCTCTGGCTGAGCTGTCTCTTTTCTTTACCCTCCACATACTGTATGGAAGGTAAAGCTTTATTAATATGTGCGGTGTCTCTCCCACACATCTCATTCATTATAGATAACCTTACACAGGACCGGTTGAATGGGAGAGGATAGAGCACTTGGGGAAGAAGGAGATGATGACTTGGGTGTTAACTGAGCAGGTCTGAGTGCAGCTCTTTAAAAAAGAGTGATCAATTTCCAGGGGTGCTGTTGGTGAGGCTTGTTTTTAACCATTCACCTCTACTGCTTAACTGACAGAGGTTAGTCTTTCCCATGCTATGATGCTTACCAATGGCTTTCTGGCTAACTTTAAAGCAAGACATTCTCATACATAAATTAATAGTTTGTTTGCAAATGAGTTGAAACAAGTGTTTATCATTATAAATGTAAGGAAAGCTTTGTGGTTAGGTTAAGGCAGGGGTGTCACAAGTTTTTTCAAAGACGGCCAGATTTGATAATGTGAATATGCCGGGGGGCCAATAGTCCCTTCTGATTTTTTTTTTTAAATATAGAAATAACATACAAATACACTGTTTTATCACAATTATCTTTATTTTTTAAATGGCAGTATAACTAAATATAAGCTACTCAGGCAGACATGAACAACTCTAAAAACGTTTGGAGCTTCCTGTCACGCCCCAGATAGCAAAAGACATTAATTCAACATTGGATTTTGGTTAAATTGGTTATTTTTGGTTGAGGTTGAAAAATCAATGTTGATTCGATGTGTTATTATTGCGAATGCTGTGCCACAGCATTCCACTATAGTACTTCAATTCTTTATTCTTCCCCTTATTTCACCAATAGTTTGGCTCTCCATAACTTCAGCTTATTTTCAGCTACAGAAACCATTCAAATATTAAACTATTCAGCCTGTTCAGGAATCGATGGGAAACCTTCAACTTTTTAAAAATATTTTATACTTTTTGAAATATTCAGCTTTTTAAACTCTTTTTTTAACATGGAAGTCAATGGGAGATGCCTTCAAATCCTCTTTTCCTACACCTTGCGCCAAATGCTTCTCCTTCCACATACTTTCAGTTTGAGACTTCATTCCAACTTTAAAATGATCACAAGACCTTCAGCTATAAAACTTGTTATTCCGATTCTTCATATCTTTTACGGTTTTTGACTTATCAACGTTTAAGTTTTGGTAAATGTACAGGCTGTTTTAGATTTTAGAGTGCGTGACATCATCACTTAGAGTGTAGAGGGCCTTAAAAATCTTCGGAAAAAATATTTTAAAACTGCTCTCAGAGCCAAAATATACAATCTATTAAAAATAATTTCAAAAGATTTCAGGAGCATTATTAGTCTGGCCTGCTCAATTGCCTTCATCATATCAAACGGACACACCGTTCTGGCCCAATAGTGATCAGAGTGACAAAAAGTCCACCTAGCTCCCAATAGACTCCCATGTTAAATTTGACCGGAACTTTCTTCAGAACAGAGAGAAGTCAACTTTAGACAAACTGCTCCCATCTTCACATTTGACACACAAAACCAAAAAAAACATAGATCAGTTCATTGGGGTTCCCTGATGCTCACGGTCTGGTCATTTTTGTATAGGAGCCATAGTTTTTGAACAGGTGGCAAAATGGTCAGATATACTCCTCAATGCATTCTTATGGGACTTGGTTGTCATGGTGTTGCTGGGCAGATTGGAGCCACACACACACCTGAGTGACATCATCTAATCAGAACAGACACCATGGAAACCTTTTATCTCTGGACACACACACAGGTGTTATGATTGGGTGTTATGAGTAGGTGCTCAGGAACAGAAACAAACACTGACAGACTGGACTTTAACAGACTGTCTCAGCCTATTCTTTTCTGTCTGATGGAGACTTCATACTGACTTCAACAGGTTCCACATATTTTATACATTATTGGTGACGTATGGTTTTAGTCGAAAAGTTTGCAGTCAAAATATTCTGCTGCTTTCCCAAGCATTTTTACTTTCTTTTCTCTTCTTAATACAAATTCATTCACTACTACTTACATCTGATATTTAACTCCTTCAGCCTATTTTCAGCTGCAGAAACCATTCAACTATTACATTATTCAGCTATTTCAGGACATCAAGGCTATACATGTTTATACCTTTTTTTTAAACCTTTTCTTTTAAATATTAAGCTTTTTCTGCATTTTTGTAGCTAAAAGCAGCTACCATTCAGCTAATAACATATTCAGCTCAATTCAGCCACAAATGTTCACAGTTTACAGCATTCGCACGCATTTTCTGCAGGAAATGCATTTTCTAGTTACAGATACCATTTCAACGTTTGAAAAAATGTTGTTGAATCAATTAAATATAGATGCCGGTTTTTCAACGTTGAAATTCCCTACATTGAATTTACATTGTTCCAACGTGAGACCAACTCTCCCCTCCCCCTCCCCTATACTTGTATTTAAAACGCAGCATAACAAGGATTTTTGAGTTAACCGTTAATACCGTTGCAGTCACAACGGCTGCGCGTATGCGCATTGCTTTCGTCTACGGGGTTTCCGCAGGGTCTGAGCAGGGTCCCGTCACTGTCTCTGAGCGGGCGAGCGGCGCTGAGTGAATTTGTCAGACAGAAACATCGACGATGTGGCCGAATTTGGATGTGAAGTTGGGGATTCTTGGGACATTTGTCTACCTCGTTTGCCTAATCAGGTAAGTGTGTGTTTTACCGAACAAGGAATGTTAACAGTAAAGTGCACTGTACTATTTAAACCAAAATATAGATACAATGAGTTCAACTACCCACCACAGTTAGGTTTGCTAGCTTAGCTACAGATGGCGTTGAATTTATGTTCAAGCACCTGAAGGCGTTTATAATGCATTTAGATGGTGAGACGACCGGTGTTATAGTAAACCGAGCCAGACATATAACGCTATAACTTTACACACAGCATTGATTGGGATATGACAACGTTGCCACTGTGTTGAAACTTAGCCTTGACTTGTATTTTTACAGGCCAGCCTTGTCCGATGTTGGGTTGAATACATGTTCCCCGTCGAAACATGGCGGCGACGTACAAGCGCATGTAGACCATGGCGGAAATGTATGTGTTATACATTTCCGCTGTGAGCCGTGTTCATACGTTTTATACAGAACTTGTGTGTATGTGTGACGATACACGGAATGGGGGGGGGGGGGGGGGCGGCATTGTTGTTCCGCCGTTACAGCGGTTAGTAACGTCTGTTTATTGGGGTAGCCGGCCGCCGGTGACTCTGACATTGTTGTGTTACAGGTCTTGTTGTTTGGTTGAGGGTAAAAAACATCTCAAACTTCGTGACTTTTCCTAAAACGGGTATATTAATCATCGAGTGAATTTTGGGGCTTGGGGAATTAAGAGAGAGAGAAAAAATATATACTTTGCCGCCACAACCCGTTGCCAAGCAACACTTATTGTTTAGGTCACGCAGCTCCGTGCTCACCTGAAGCTCAGCCGCTGTAACGGACCGGTGAGCGGAGCAAAACACACGTTTCAAGTTAGACCAAACACACTTAGCTATTTTATCTACCTCTGGAACTAGCTAAACTAGTTATACATATGTTTATTCTTCACTGTCGGGGTAACTCATTACTAGAGTAGCGAGCTGCATGAGATACTGACGGGCTGTCAGGAGAGGGAGAGAGGAAAAGAGAGCGCTCCGTTTATTATACTGGTGTTATTATCTAAAGTGAATGTTAATTTTGAATGAAGTAGTTAATATACTATTAGTGGTTTGTTTAAATGTATTAATTGTTTTGTTTTTTGTTTGTAGAAGAATACCATTTATTGATTTATTGTAAAATGAATCCGAACGTTTTGATCTGTTACGATGATAAACTGAAGCAATTTAAAAATTAACCCCATTAACTGAGTTTTAAATCGTTTTTTTGTTAAGTCCTACTAAGTATATAAGGAAAGGATGAAAACTAACGAATTAAGTTTAAAAAATGATATCTTCTGAACTGAATGTCCTATATGTTTCTCTTGTGTTTCAGGGGTGGATCACATGCAGTGCAGGCTCCAATCAAGAGACTCTTCTAAAACATTGTCGCCTTTGTCACGGAAAAGCTGCGAACTGGCCCTGTATTCACACTGACTGTGTATGTCAGTTAATTGGCAAACTATACTATACCCTGCCCTACCACTCCACTACAGGCCCCTCCAACACACTACGCCCCACTTTCCAATCAGTCCCCAAAATTGTAATACCAGTTTTTTTTTCAATTCAAAACATCCAAACTATCCCCTTAACCTCTTAAGCACGGCGGTCCCCCCATTGGACCCCTCCCACCGTTTTGTTTTCGAGATAATGTCTCAGGGCTTCTTAACATTTATGAAACTATTAATGTGTAGCACCAGATTAACGGGAAGAATCTCAGCTAACTGAAGATATGAACCATTTTTACCAAAATAAAACACAAGTCTCATAAGAAGCGTCTAAATGACCTCTGAGCGAAAAAATTCTAACGCACTGCGGCACACAATTCAAGATAAAAATACCCTTATTACTTATCGTAGCTGCACATACAATATAGCCGATTAAAGCTGAGACTCCACTGATTATTTAGGTATAGTATCATCACTGAGCGATCCGAACTTGCGACAGGGGAAGCAAACACAGACATCACAACACGTACCTTTACGGAGCTTTTACGGCAGATCGTCTCACCGTAGCTGTCAATTAGGTCAAAAGACGTGTTCAATGGCATTAAAACGAAGAAAAAAAAAAAGGCTACAACTGTTGATCCATAGGTTGATAATGTACCTGTGCCTTTGAAGAAATTATTTATAATCCATAATTCAATTTTTTATGTAAAAATCGGAGCGGAAAAGTTAGCTGCTAATGGTAGCCACCAGAGTGTATGCAGCTTCCGGTTTTGGTAACGCGTCACTCTCACTCCTTATTTGTTAACGTTTTGGTGTGTATAGAACTTTCCCTCGATTCCATTGGCTCTAGCGGTTATAAAGAGATTTCATTCATCAAAATCGAGCAAGGGGGGCCAGAGATAGGTCAAATCCACCCAAATGAGGGGGTTTTTGGCTAAATCTCTCTAAAAAGGTCAAATTTCACTTGTTTTGCATCAATCTTGATACAGGGTACTTATTATATGTTGTACTTTGGATTCCTAAAGCTTTTAGTCTACTAACCCATCATCCAAGGGTAGTTTTCACTATAAGTAAAAAATAGTTTTTGGACGGACACTATAATTTACAGTTTTTTACTATGTAAAATCTGAATGTTCTTTAAAATAAAAAACATCTATATTGATTCTGACTTTTCTACATCCAACTCACAGGTTTATCATTACTTTGAGAAAAAAGATTATTAATTTAACCCTTTTAGAAGGGAAGATATGGTCATTTGTTCTGGGAATGTCATTTTCGAGCCTGAGACCTGAAAAACAGGCTCAGGGCTTAAGAGGTTAAGATGGTGCAGACTTTGAACAAGACGGCTACCCAGGAATTTGCTGCACAGAAAAAAACATGACATTGTGGTTACAATCAAATTACATTGTTTTGTAATTTCTGTTTTTCAGATATCTGAAGAATTTCATCGGATCAGCAAAGACCTCCTGGGGACGTTCGGTGCAGCCTTTGACAAACATGTGCCTTGCCTGCTGAAACTGTACCGGGCTAGGAAGGGAGCTTTTGGACAGAAGATGGAAGACTTCTTGGAAACATTTGATGAACAAGTGAGTGAAGTGCCTCAATCTAAGAGCATGCAAAAGTTATGGGGAAAATGGCCGGAGCCGGGTCCACCAAAGCCCTTTCCCCCCGTTTGAAAATATGAAATGCTCCTTCGCCTAACATTTGTAGGAGCAAAAACACTTTGATGGAAAGGCTTCAGTAAAAATGGATTGTTAAAAGTCATTGCTTGGTGTTTTTAGTTGGTGGAATTTGAGAACTGTAACAGTATTTTTAATTTGTAGAATTGTCCGCAGGATTGCAGTTTTTGTTTTGTTTTATTTTGCCAGTCTTTTACTGAAGCATGTTACTGGGATCTGACCTGTTCTTTATCCTCCTCAGAACGTCGGATTTTGTATAAATTCACTCCGGCACTAAACTAATTGATATGTTTGTGTGTTTCCACTGGGTACTCCTTAGACATCCGACATTGTGTCTCACCAAAAGACAGCAGCACTGAGAGGCCTGCCCATTTTTGTCCGAGATGACACAACCAAGTTTCTTCTGGAGTGTTTGGTAAGTAATACTAACTGTTGGAAATAAACTTATACAATTAATATTGCTTAATGTAGCTTAAACATGTTATGACCTCATAGCTTATGCTAATCATTTTATGCACAATACACTTTGTGTAAGATTTAATTTTGAGCCCAGAGATGCCGTGCTGTTGAGTTGCAATTATAACTTCCACAAGCTGAATGGTAAGACTCAGTAGCTTGGTGCTAAAGTTAGAATCAGTGGATATGTATTTTGTCGTTTAGTTTTCCATAGCACTCATTCATGCATATTTTACTTTTCCTCAGGACACTGACCATGAAGAACGATTGCTCAGAGGTGTGTCTGTGGCCATCCTCACCGTCATTGAAGATGATGATGCCGCCATATCACCAAATGTGCGAGACGTGGCTGTTGTGTTGGAAGGGACCATTGTACTGCATGACCTACCAGACCTCTCTACTGCCTTTGCATACCTCTTTGGCCTACTTTATGCAATGAACATGGATTTTCCAAAGGAGATGAGGTATACCTTTGAAGCCATTCAGACTATCTTTTAAGAGCTTGGCTCTCGACGCTCGCAGCGTATAAGGCCTCGGAAAACAAAGCTTTTGCTGTGAATGTTAATGGGGAAGCCAGACATGACTTTAACCTATGTTTCACCTGTTCTAGTGCATTGTGGTTAGTGCTCATGTAAAACCTCACAGCATTCATTTCATTTTAAGCATATAAGTTCTCTTCTGAAATAGAGAATCAAAGAATGTGTGGATGTGTAAGTTGCCAGTTCAAAAGAGGGGCATATCCAGTATTTCTACTGTTCAAGTTCATTGTTAGTGATCAGGTAAAACTTCAATGTATGTACTTGCACATGCAGTCATTTTAAGCATGAAGTCCCATTTGCCTGTGAAATTGAAATGTGTGAAATTGTGAGTTGCCAGTTGACAAGAGGCACTGGATTGTAATTGTTATATTTGTTTATTCTTAAATTCTTTGATTGTGATGTGCTGAAGAGGTTGAGGCCTGATATATCACAATGATGCCAGGTGTGTGAATCCTATTTTGACCTGATGGATAAAAGCAGAAGCAGAAACGATCCTCAGAATCTGTGTTCAAAGGCCATCATCATTTTCTGTTTAAAGCAGCTTTGCTAGATGTTTATTATGTCAAGAAATGTCCTTAACTTGTGTTATGTTGCAAAACGTGCATTTTTTCAAATCCATATATTCAGCATGTGAAGAATGCATGTTATCAACGTCTAGCAAAGCTGCTTTAAACAGAACATGATGATGGCATGGGGTCTGCGAGACAGCGAGACACAGAGGAACTCAGCCTGAGCACACACACAGCCAGGCTGGGCGAGTCGGCTGACAGCTTCCATACAGCGCTGCATTGCCTGGCAGCATAGACAGGTCTGTACAGGGTGTACTTTGAGGGTTTGTGATGCAGAAAAAGCTACATAACACACAAGGGGATGGGTAATAACCAGAAAAGCATATGATAAGACCTTTAAAAGAGAGAATGTTTTGTGAATGTTTTGTGTGCTAAAGTGGACAAAAAATGTACAAAATGTTCATATAATTGAATTAAATCATAATAATCAACTGAATAAATAATGGCTCTTTTTTTGTTAGTTCATTTTCAATGTCTGACATCAATGTTGATTGAAATCTTCAGCGTGACAATATCTCAATGTTGATTCAAAGACTTTTTGCTATCTGATAATAACATTGTTTCAATGTATAATGCAACGCATAATATAGTTGAATCAGTGTTGTTGCAATTCTACATTCTTTCAATGTTGATCATATCGTAATTGAATCAAGGTTGATTCATTGTTGGGATTGATTGAAAATTCAATGTTCTTTCAATGCTGATCATAGCGAGCACTTTCAATGTTAATTTCAATGTCTGACATCAATGTTGATCACAATCTTCAGCGTGACAATATCTCAATGTTGATTCAATGACTTTTTGCTATCTGGGGCACGTGTACTCTCAGTATTTTACGATTGGGGCCGAGACGCACACGTGGACACCTCACACGTGGACACCTCACACACGGAATGCCTGAATTTCCCCCTGGGGATTAATAAAGGTCCATCTTATCTTATCTTACATAAATCGCTGACACGGGTGCATGACTCTGTTGAAACTTTGAACTTTTTTCAAAAGGAAAGGGACTTTACAGAACAACAACTTATAACACAATTTCGCAACGTCAGCTGTTTTTATTTTCTACAGCTAACGTGGAACAGTTGGTAGACGGATTGCCCTCTTCAGAACCTTTGAGCTAAAAATAAACATCAGCAAAGAAGGAAAATATAATCATTTTAGGTCATGTATGCAGTAAAAGAAGGTATGGGACGTGAAATAAGAGCCATGTACATGAACATCACAGCAAATAATGCAGCTGATCTTCTCTCATCTCTTCAATCAAGATTGGATAACCAAGATTTGATTGAAACATTTTTGTTTAGCTTAACCAGCGTGTCAGCAAGCAAAGTGAAATGTACTTCCCACGATAAAGAAAAGTGAATGCTGCGGTGGTAAAAGACTTCCAGGGGAGCATAAGTCAGTGTCAGGAACACAGGTCTGCAGAGGGGACACTGCTGAGCTTTTAAAGGAAAGCCATGGAACATTTGAGTCGTTAAAGTTTGAATCAGCATTTGGTGGCTTGAATGATCTGGATATATGGGAGTAATAAAGGCTGTACGAGTTACAGAGTGCACCTGCTCCCTACCAAAATCCCTGGAGGTGCAAGGTAACTTTAAGGGCTCCAGTTTGGGAGAGGCTTTAAAGTGCAGGGGTCAGGCACTGCAGCCAGGGTGAGCAACCCACTGGGTGTTTCTCAATGTAATTTCTTGCTTGGTAGCACATGTCTTCCGAGTCACTTCCTTCAGAAGCTAGGCAAGAATCCTTCCTGGCATTCGGAAAACGAAGAGTGGAACAGGCTAGCAAGTGTGCAGGTGTGCGTCATATGAGAGGCCCCGCCTTACATTTTCCGCCACAGATTTTGGGAAATTGGTCCGTGCGCAAAGCATTGTGGGGATTTTAAGACCGTGAAATCTACACATGTGCAGCCTCGAAGTACGCCGGGCTCGGTAGAATTCCAAGTATGCTGGACATTGGAACAGTCCTTCGGCGGCACTCGATGACGTAGTATGCTTGAAATAGTGGCTCTGTATGGGATTAGTTTTGTATCATAAAGATAAAGCAACACTTTCTCAGAATAAAGCAAAACTATGAGTTTAAAATAAAACTGAGTCAAGCAAAATAAAATAAATTTCAAAAATAAAACTATAAGTTGCAAACAAATCATTTGTGTAATCATGTAAACTATAAGTCTTTTTTCTTTGTTTTAACATAGGTTTTTGTTTGCAGTTCTCTTTGCTTCTTTCTCAATGATCAGACTTTTGCTCTCGCTGCAGCTCTTCTCGTTAGCGCTCCCTCATTTTTTGTTTTCGATTTTGACACAAACATCCCAGGTGGGCGGGACTTTCAGGGGTGTGTCCCCATTGGCTACTCAGTTTTTGAGTGACAGCCCACTACACCACAGATCATACAGTGCAACTCATGCAGCAAACTCCGGAGTCCACTCGGCCACGTTAGTGTCGGTGTCTCCTGGGGAGTTTTCATGAGCATATCGGACTTCTCTTATGGATTGCTGTGCATTATACTTGTGTTGTGTAGTTTATACTTTATTCCAACTTTAAATATTTGAATACCTGAACACACTGCTGCTGTTAAATAGTTTCCCAATTTGGGATTGATAAAGTGTCTGTCTGTCTATTTATTTATTTTATAGATTAAAAAAACACATCTATGTATTTTCAAGCTAAAGGTGATACACAATATAAACTGTATACTATTATTTTTTCAAAGACATGTTACATTTCAAAAGCATATATTGCTATGTTTAGGACAAACAATTAAAGACTGCTTTAATTGAACAAATTCTACAATATAAAAGTGGCAGATTTGCTTTATTAAACAGACCAGACCTAGGCTGCATACCAACACAATTAGGAACATGCTGACATCTCACTATGTTGGTCTGAAGAGCTGAAGCATTCATACACAATGGATAAAAACTGTGTTGTCTCATTCAATATCCTGTGAGAAAATGATATACATTTAGCATAAAAAATTCGACATACTATTCCTAGCCTGAGGAAGATATGAATAATCAACAGATTTGAATGGAATCTCTAACATTTTCATGTAGAATAAAGACAAAAGAGTGATTATACAAATTACATTTATTGAAATTTGAACCAGAAGAAGTCTCAAAGAATGTTTTAAATAAAAGGACATAAAACAAAAAGGTGGATAATAATAAAATCTATTAAATGTATATGTAAAGACATTTGGTCAAATGAAATGACACTGAGCAAGTGATAACAGCAACGCCCAGCGTGGATGAAGCTGGTGCAGGTCTTTCTCCGTGCTGTCCCCTCAGAGGAAGTGGGAAAACGGGATAAGACTCTGGACACCACGCTGTCTCAATGATCCACACTGTTAATATGAGAGGAAAATAAATGTTTTAGGAAATGAAAAATATGAAGTTAACAAATAAAACACAGCTCAGGGGCCTCATGGACGGTAGGTTTTCCTACAAAGTTAACTCAGCCTCCATTGATTTTCATATCAAATTGGCGTGTTAATATAATAAGCTTTCATGGCTAATACTTGCATATCTAAACAGAATCATGAAAGCCTGTTGGTAGAGTCAGGCACACAAGTCCGTTTGAGTGTGTGCGCCGGTGTCTGAACCAGTGGCGTAACAAGGTTGTGATTGGCCTGGCCAGGGCCCCTCCCTGTGAGCCTAGTGTGCTCCGATTGGTCAGCTCGGCCACTCTGTTCTGATTAGTCAACCACCAGAGAGGCTCCGCCCGCTTTTTTCGGCTGCTCTCAGCGGAACATCAGTCTTATAATGGCGTCGGTACAGCCGTATATTTTATACGCTAACTAACCGAACTGTACCTACAACTGTTGTTATAGAAGAGTGTGACGGCCCCAGGGCCTTTGTGCAGGTGTGTTGCAGGTCTTACGATGGGGTGGAGCTGAAGAGGCTAATCAGCGCGATCACGGACACCTCCGTAGCCGAGGTGCTATTAAGCCCAGCTGCCCGGAGTCACACGGCGGCCCGTCTCTCTCCAAAGCGGCTCGGCGATTCTCTCCCCTCGACCACCTATCTCTGCATTTACCACAATAAATGTGCCGTGGTTTTGTAAACTCGTGTATGTCTCCTTGTCTTTCCGTTGTGGCCTACGAGCCGGTCATAACAAAGAGTAAGTTATTTTTACCTGTAATAAACTACTACTGTTTGATGAGAAATCAAATCATGGTTTGCTATATATGAATGATATGTTATAGGAGCAAATAATTCAGGGAAGAAAGGATAGGCCTACTAAGTATTTCCATTAAACTTTATTTTTAGAAATGTACAAAATGAACATAAATATACATATATACACACGGTATATCATCCATTCCTCCCCGCATCTTGCCTGGGCGCAGCCGGTGCTTTTTAGGACGAGGCCTCAGTAGTAGTAGTCCCGTCCCCGTCATG